CCTAACACTAACCCACTCTCTTCCTCTCCTTTCCCAGTAACCCCACACTCCTTGTGCTCTTCTTAGTTATCCACTCCTGTGTGTCCTGCTTTTCCTCTGTGTAAATATTGCCCCTCTGGTGCCCCATGGCCAATTGCTCCAAGGGATGTATCTCTGTACAGTAGGTGGGTGCATTACCCTGGGTTGAGTGTTCTGAATGTATGCCTTATTTACTACACGGTTGAGAGCCAGTCCTTGGGAGTGTGTTATCCCAGGCCAGAAGTGTATCCCAGGGCCAAAGTCTTGGGGGTCCCACCAGACTCCATCTGATCAATAATTCTGGTCATTATTGTGTTTTTGGATTTTGTTTCATATTTTTCCTCCCACTCTCTCCAGGATCTCCAGTTTTGATCCTTCCTTAGTAGTTAGCATTGGTAGACGGGCACCATCTAGTTCTTCTGGTCTTGAGGTCCATCATGTCCTAGGGCTGATTGTTTCCAAATGTAGGGAATTGTTCATATTCAGATAAATAAAAGATTTAAACTCAATGGTCTAACTTTCCACCTCAAGAAGGCAAAAAACAAATTATCAAATTAAACATAAAGAATACAGATGAATGAAGATAATAAAGATTTTATTAATCTTTTCAAGGAACAAACATGCTGAAAAAGCATGTGAAGTAAATCAACATCTATTCACAATAAAAACTCCCAGAAAATGTGGAATAGAATACAATATGTTAAACAGCATCTATAAGAAAAACCTACTGCTGCTATCATATTTCATGGTGAATACTGAAAGTTTTCTAGTAAAATTGAGAACAAAGCAAGGATGTGTGCTGTCACCATTTACTTCTAATTCAATTTGTACTGGAGTCCCCAGCCAGTACAACAAGCAAGATAAATAAAAACATAAAAATTGAAAGGAAAGAGTAAAGCTATCTCTATTCACAGATAACCTCTTTGTTTATGTAAAAAATCCTAAGAAATCTACCAGTAAACAACTACTAGAATTTATGAACATAATAGGATACAAGAACAAGATACAACAATCAACTGTATTTCTATACACTAGCAGTAAACAGTTGAAAATTTGAGGAAAAAAAATACTCACCAAAAGGCCTCATTGAGAATATGAATAGGTAAGCTAGAGATAGGGAAAATAATGTTTTCAATAACTGTCTCTAAAAAAGGACTTGTATCCAGAATACATGAAGAACTTATACAAGTTAATAATAAAAGGACAATTTTTAAAATAGCCAAAAAATTTCACTAAATACATGAAAGTATATGAATGGACAAGCACAGACAAAAAATGTTCATCACAAGCACATCATCAGTCATTAGTGAAATGCAATTACTACCACCATGAGATAGCCCCACATAACCATTGTTATAGTTATGTGTCCTTGAGTCACTCCCAACTCAGTGACTCTACGTACAACAGAATGAAACACTGGCTGGTCCTGCACCATTAATCACTACTATGTTTGAGATCACCGTTGCACCCATTGTGTCAATCTGTGTCATTGAGGGTCCTCTTCTTTTCTGCTGACCCTCTTTACCAAGCATAATGTCCTTTTCTGGGGACTGGTCTCTTATAATAACATGTCTAAAGTATTTGAGATGAAGTCTCACCATCTTTGCTTCTAAGGAGCATCTGGCTGAACTTCTTCCTAGATAGATTTGTTAATTCTTTTAACAGTCCATGGTATATTCAATATCCTTCATGAACATCATAATTCAAATGCATCAGTTCTTATTTACTGTTCAGCTCTCATGTAAATAACATGGTTTGGGTCAGGTACATATTAGTCTTCAAAATGACATCTTTACTTTTTTTAAATTTTTAACGGGTCTTTTGCCCACATCCACTAGAATCCTCATATTAGGAAGAATGGCAACATCAAATCCTGTAAGGATGTGAAACAACTGGAAATGTCTGTCCTACATTCCTGGTAGGAGTGTAAATCAGTACAACTACTTTGGAAAAATGCTGGCAGTTTCTTATGAAATTAAATGTACCCTTGGAAAAATACATCTATCCAAGAGAAATATAACACCACACAAAGACTTTTATAAGATTATTCCTAACAGTCTTATTCATAACAGTCAGAAGTGTAATCAACTCAAAAGTTCATTTGTAGGTAAATGGATAAACAATTCCAGTATATTCATACAATGGAATATTACCAATAATAAAAGGGAAGTACTGATAACACCAGGCGAATCTCAAAAAGATTATGCTGAGTGAAAGAAGCCAAACACAAAATTAAATGATAGTGAAGAGAAAAAAAAAGGGGAAAGGAAAAAAAAAAATCAGAACTGTGACTACCTCTGGCAGGGACCAGGAAGTTGTAGGGAGTGAGGAGATTGACCGGGAAAAGTTGACTGAAATATTATACATTTTAATGAGTGTACCCATTGCTGTCATATCGATTTTGACTCATAGTGGCCCTATCAGATAAAGTAGAACTGCCTCGTGGGGTTTCCAAGGCTGCAAATCTTTACAGAAGCAGACTGCCACATCTTTCTCTGGCAGAGCAGCTGGTGGGTTCGAACTGTTGACACTCAGCAGCTGAGATAATTTGTGCAGGGGTTATAAAAGTACATACACTTATCAAAACACACTGCAACATACACTTAAGATTTGTGCATATACTTGAAAAAATCTTCAAATAAATATTAAACTCTTGTTAGTAGGATTTTTCTTTTTTTTTTTTTTTTTTTAAAGTAGTATGGGTTAGCAAAGGAACCTTGGAGTACAGTGGTTAAGCACTTGGCTGCTAAACCAAAGGTCTGCTGTTCAGACCCAACAACTGCTTTGTGGAAGAAAGCTATGGCAGTTTGCTTCTGTAAAGATTACAACCTTGGAAACTCTTTGGGGAGTTCTACTCTGTCCCAGTGGGTGACTACTGATAGGAATCAACTTGACAGCTATGGGCTGAGTTTGCTTTGGATAGGTGGTGGTGGTTGTTATGTGCCATTGAGTCGGACGACTCATAGCGACCCCTCCCCTAGGTTTCCAAGGCAGTATCACTATGGAAGTAGATTGCCCAAACCTCCTTCCAAGGAGTGGCTGATAGGTTTGAACTGCCAGCCTTCTGGTTAGCAGTCAAGTGCCTTAGGCACTACACTACCAGAGCTCCTAAAAATATGTCCCGTTACTAAGGCTTGAGCAAATGAGCAACTATATTGAGGATAATGGGAGCCAGATTTCTCCTTATTGGAAAGGATAGATATAAATACAGAAAAAGGAAAGACAACAACCAACTCGACATGTTGGATTTCAAGTGGAGGTTATCAGTGTTTAAAATCGATAGCTAGCCAGCTAGATAAACGGTAAGAAAAGAAGGGGTGGGAGGATACCATGAGTATCCTCAGGTGTCTTTCGGTCCTGCTGGATCCAAAAAGGCAAAATGTAAGGTTGCAAGTGAATAAGAATATACTTCACTGGTAGAGGACAGATTCCTTTAAAACTGATCCTTATTAAATGTGTTGTAAGGTATTTGACTGCTACCCAGAAGGCCAGCAGTTCAAACCCAGCAGCCACTCTTCAAAAGGAAGATTGGGCAATCTATTTCCATAGAGATACCACCTCAGAAACCCAAGGAGGGGTTGCTATGAATTGGACCCAACTTGATGGCAGTGAGTTTGCGATTTGGTTTAATAGCGTGTTATATACTCTAATTGTGGTACATATGAACTAGTATTTCACAGTTGTTAGATAGATTTGTAGAAAAGGGAGTGAATAATAAAAAGGCTTTTTTTAGTTTTAGTGTATCTTTAGTGTATCTTGGTAATTGTCTTGAAGCTAATCACAGACTAATGAAAACATTCTTAGGTGTATACTCATTGACCTGCCTTCAGTCTTTCTTTGATGTCTTACGTATTTACTTGTTGACAGACAGGGCCTGGAAGAGATGACCCAGGCTTTTAATAAAGAGTAAATTATTTTATTTTTTTCTTTTCTTTCTTGGTTCTGAACTATCTTCAATTTTCTTTTCTTCTGTTTTGTTTCATGAAAACTAATTTTCATTAGTTTGCTGACAGGGGTTTCACTTAATGATGTATGAGAAATTGGTCTCTAAATACATTAATATCAGTAAACACTTCAAAGTCAAATATTTCTCTCTCTACTTATACTGGCAATTTCTTTTCCCGCCTCTCGCTCACTCTCATTTTTGTTGTTGGTCATTTGTATTCAAATACACAGATGCCAAAGCCACCAAAATTAGAATACTCTGTCTGCCTGATGATAATGAATAAAATAAGTAGACAGGCACAGTAACCTTAAGCAGCTACCTGTAAAGGGTCCATTGGATTTTGCTGGTATTTAGAGAGACCCAGACTTCCTTTAGGTCTTGTCACCTTGGATCAAAGCTACCCTGATCTAATCCAGGAGGGGGAAAAAAAAAAAAAACAGTCGCTATTGAGTCAACTCCCACACATGTCAGAGTGGAACTGTGCTCCACGGGGTTTTCAATGGCTGATTTTTCAAAAGTAGATCACCAGTCCTTTCTTCTTTCTGAAGCACCTGCAGGTGGACTTGAACTTCTAACCTTTTGGTTAGAAACCAAAATATCAATCATTTGTTCCACCCAAGGACTCCTGAACCAGTCCAGTGTATAAATGTGTTGTAAGGCATTTGACTGTCAACCAGAAGGCTCCTCAGAAGGAAGATGGGGCAATCTACTTCCGTAATGATACTGCCTCGGAAACCCAAGGAGGGGTCCCTATGAGTCGGGTTTGACTCGACAGCATATAACAACAAAAACAACAGAAGGCTGGTGGTTCTCGAAAGGAAGGGTGGGCAATCTACTTCTGTAGAGATACTGCCTCGGAAACCCAAGGAGGGGCTCTGAGTCAGATCCGACTCGACAGCAGAAGGAGCAGAGTTTGTATAATGAATTCTACTGATTCATGCATTAAACTGCTGAAGAAGTGGCTTTTGCCTGCCGACAGTACAAGAGATTCAATGAGAGACACTCAGCACAAGGGGAACCAAATTGAGGTCCTTACCATCCACAGGCTTGACCTCCACTGGTGTTTGTTCCTCTTGCACTCCCATGCAGCTCTCTTTAATGCTTTCTATTTCACGCCAGAAATCCTCCATGGAGGTGCTGTCTATGGAGGCTTGCGAGTTGGAGCGGTTAAATGCAGGAGGATGTAAGGATTCATTGGAAAGCATCCTGTTAATTCTCCGGCAGCAAGGAACGGATTTTCTGAGGAAAGGAGAGTATCTCTGGATGAAAATCAAAGTTATTTATTTAAAAAATTACACAATGAAACCTAAATTCAAAATCAATAGATAAATAGAGTTACCATATTGTTACACAAATAACACATGCCTTCTACATTTGTTTGCTAACTGCTCCCTCTGCCCAGGATATATTTTTCTAAATGCACTATGCTAACTTTTGGACAGCAACATGTGGAAAAAAAAAAAAAAACGGGTATCACACTGCCTAAGAAAACACCTCTGGGGGGAAGGAACGGTTGGCAAACAAACATAGAAGGAATGTGTGATCTGTGTAAAAATATGGTAGTGTGGTAGAGAGGGTTTGAGGAAATGATTACCATTCAATAGCTACCCTTCTCTTTTACTTCATTATTTACTTCATAAAGGTATCCCTTTGGTGGTGCAAGCAGTTAACACACTAACGCTAAATGAAATACTTGAGGATTGAGTTTACCCAGAGGAACCTTAGAAGAAAGGCCTGGTGCTCCATTCCTAAAAAATCAGCCACAGAAATCCCTATGAAGCACAGTTTTATTCGGATGCACATGGGGTCACTATGGGTCAAAACCCACTTGATAGCAACTATTTTAATACTTCATAATGATTCTGTGGCCCCACAGGTATTACAATGAAATATTTTTATAATTTTTATATACTCATAAAATGGAAAGTTATTAGTATTAGTCAAAACATGTATAGTACAAGTTTGCCTCTTTAAAGTGGCCAAGGTGATGACCAAGAAGTGTGTAAAAGTGGTGTCTGGGATAATGAAATTATTAAGAGGAAACATCTATAACATCAGGTGGGAAACCAACATTAGGATGGGGACGAGGGCAGAGCCTGGAGCACAGAGGCCCACAGTCAGTCTGGGAGGATGAGGCCACCAGTAAGGCCAGGGACCAGCAGCTGAAGACAGTATAAGCTCCTGCTATTGCTACATAATAGGACCACTGCCAGACCACAGGCAGTGAGACCAAGACAGTTTCATGAGGCACTGACCTCATAGGCTTGGGGCAGGACTAAATAAATTACCACATGCAAACCATTTAGAACCTAAAAATGCTCAATAAATGTTAGTTAAGAAAAGTGGGAGACATAGCAGGGCAGATAAATGCCAAAATGCCAGAGTTCTGAGAGATTTTAGTGAGTTAATGAAAAGGTAAAATAAAATATTTGGCTTCCATGATTAACAAATATTACATTTTCCAGGAGCAGAATGTTTGATTAACTAGAATACTTCAACATCCAACCTTGGAGAATAACTAACTGAATTACTTTACACATTAAAATATTCTATTCTTGTTCTTACATGGTTTTAAAACTTGGTGTGGGTATATAATTTCATTAAAAACCTCCAGCAAACTTGCCTCCTTCTCCTTGAGTTCAGGTGGAATATTGAATCAAAAGGCTGAGACTACCACTGAACCAATGTATGGTCTGAGCTGCTTCACCCAAAATAAAAACTCTCAAGTGGAAATATGTAACCCCAGAAATGGCATAGCAACATCCCATGTCCTACAGAAAATATAAAATTCTCTCTGCTCATATTCTCTGCACCTCTAGGAATCCTTCTAAATGTCCAAATCACCTGTAGAAATTTGTGAAATTTAATCATTGATCGAGACCAGACTGTAAGTAGTTCTTTAACATTAACTGGCAGCAATTGAAACAATTTATGTTTAAAACTCAAAGCACTTCAGAAAAATGTGAAATATCTGCTTTTATTTCTTATGCTATGCTGTGTGATAAAAAGAAATTGGCAGCTTTGTTTGATAATTAGGTGATAAAAAGTTTTTCACTGAATTCTTTATATTTTGACAAGACACATGATTCTACTGGTTGAAACGTGAAGTCGTCATAAATAGCATGATTTCATGAAATCATCACAGATATCAAGACAATAATTTTTCCTTTATTATTTTAGGTTATTAAGCCTCTTCCTTTTTGCAACAAGACCAATATGGAAAATCACAGACAAACTCATAGAATACTAATATGTAAATACTTCTTGTAAAATGAAAAATTGTACTTTAATTTCCATTGTTTACACAGCCTACTACTCTCCAGGTACCATATTAAGAGAAAGAATAAGGATATTCCAAAATTTTCTCTAATCCTAGAGGTTTAAGGTAAGCTTCTTAAAAGAATTAATAACTTTGGTAAACATTCTACAATCTAAATAGCTGATGTGGACCAAGTTTTAAAAATTAGAATGTGGTATATTGCTTAAATCATAAACAATTATATAAAGCTAGAGTTGAAGGTCTTCTCCTTCTATGTGTATCATCTCAAAAAACAAAACAAAAACAAAAACAACTCACTGCTGTCAAGTCATTTCCAACTCATAAGGACCCCTCCTTGGGTTTCTGAGGTGGTATTTCTACAGAAGTAGATTGTCCAATCTTCTTTCTGAGGAGTGGCTGGTGAGTTTGAATTGCCAGCCTTCTGATTAGCAGTCAAATGCCTTAAGCACTACACTACCAAAGCTCCCATCATCTCAATATTGTTCTATAAACTGCTTTGTTTTCCCACTCAAAAGTGTCACAGACATTTGCCCATGCCAATACAAAGATATCACTTCAACGGCTGCATGGAGAAGATTAATTTATCTTAGAAATTAAGTAAACATAAGCATCCAAACACAGAAAACTTCTAAAGAGTTGAGAAATTTTGAAAATAATAAAATGAATTTCAGAAGATGAGAAGTACATATATTTAGGGCTAATAATAGTAATTTCAGTTAAAATACCTAATTTCTTATTTATGCAATGGGTACGTATATGGAGCCTCAGAGAAGTGATCTTCATAAACCATTGCCAGCAGACAGGGGGAACAGATGTGGAATATAGTTATGAACAGCTGAGTAGAAGGCTTGCTTCATCTGAGACAATCTACCCAAAGAATCCTTTAATTGCAATGATCAACAATTTTTCTTGGCAAAGAACTCAGACAGAATTTTTGGGAACAACATACTTGGAAGAGCTCTCACTTTTTTTAGGAGGGGATCAAAATACTTCCCACTTCATCCCAGAGTGGAATATGGACCATAACCTTCCACTCTTGAATCATTACACAATTGTGGCTCTTGAGATCATCCAGTGGTTAGATGAGTTTAATCTGCAGCTTCATACCTCACCATATTAGGATAAAACAGAGCTTGGGCTTCATCAGCTATTTGTATTTCTTTATTCCTAAACAGTATCAGGAAAATATTACATGAAAAACAGAATGTAATTGTGTTACACAGCAATTTTTGTTGGGAAATCACAACGAGGTTTCAAATTCGATTTTAAGTATGTGGTAATTACCATAAACTCAAAGTAGCATTTTTTTTTTTTTAAAGGGAAGATTTTATTTATTTATTTTTTCTTGTCTTTTTAGCTATAGTTTATGTTTTAATGGTTAGTGAACCAAAAAAACCCAAACTCACTGCCGTAGAGTTGATTTCGACTCATAGCGACCCCTCCTTGGGAGCTCTGGTAGCATAGTGGCTAAGTCACTTGCCTGCTAACCAGACGGCTGGCGGTTCAAACCCACCAGCCACTCCTCGGAAGGAAGGTTGGGCAATCCTACTTCCGTAGTGATACTGCCTCGAAAACCCAAGGAGGGGTCGCTATGAGTCGGGGCCGACTCGACGGCACATAATAACAACAACAACAACATCACTATGGAAGTAGATTGCCAAACCTTCCTTCCGAGGAGTGGCTCGTAGGTTTGAACTGCCAGCCTTCTGGTTAGCAGTAAAATGTCTTAAGCACTATACCACCTGCAGTGAATTGCTTGATGTGGCCCTTCTAGCCATTGTCCTCCATTCTGTGATGTTTTGTAAATCCCATTATCCATGCCTGTTTGGGGTGCTGTGGTAGTTAAGGTCAGGTATCAACTTGGCTGGGTAGCTGGTAGTAGCCATTCCCTATAATGACTGGCAATCAACTCTGTGATGGGATTTAGGTTAATTCTGTTGGGGCAACACAGGTGGAATATATCTTGAGTCCTGCCTTGCTGGAGGGTATAATTCAAATCACTACCCTTAGCTTCCCTGAGGGTATACCTATGAATCTCCTGGGAAGATTCGCTCTCCTCTTGCTCCGGCTTTGTGTCTTGGATCATCCTCATCTCACCCCTGGATTTGGGACAGCAGCCGTCATCTGATCTGCTGATCGAGGTTCATCAAACCCTGAGAGTTGGGAGGATCCGCCAGACCTACTCACGGACCTGGCACTCACCAGCCTGCCAGCCTCCACCACTACTACGTGAGATGAACCCTTGGGTGTCTGTGAGTTCTGTGAGGCATTACAGCAAAATACAGAACCCTAAGACGGGAAATTATTGGGAGGAGGAGGAGGAGGAGGAGTTAATGTCTGAAATGATGGAGTGGCATGGTAGTTTGGACATGTGGGACATCTTTGACCTCCACCTCATGGGGACCAGCCTAGTGCTGATCTTTCTAAGAGTAATTGTTCAAGCACCACCAGAACTCCTTTAATGGTTACTGTTGTTGTTATGTGCCATCGAGTTGGACCCGACTCATAGTAACCCCTCCTTGGGTTTCTGAGGCAGTATCACTATGGAAGTAGATTGCCCAACCTTCCTTTTGAGGAGTGGCTGGTGGGTTTGAACCTCCAGCCTCCTGGTTAGCAGTCAAGTGCCTTAGGCACTATGCTACCAGAGCTCCTAGAGATCTATAAAAGATGTCCTGGTGTTGCAGTGGTTAAGGCATTTGGCTGCTAACCAGCAGATCGGTGGTTCAAACTCATCACATTTTCCTTGGAAGAAAGATGGAGCAATCTGCTTCCGTAAAAATTTATAGCCTTGGAAACCCAATGGGGGTCACTGTGAGTCAGAATCAACTCAACAGCAGTGAATTTGGTTTTGGTTTTTGAAAGATCTATAATTTATTATAGTTTTCCTTGAATTAGTATTTTACAACTTCCAAACAACATAAATACCTTAAAAGGAGCTCTGGTGGTGTAGTGGGTAGGACATTTGGTTGCTAACCAAAATGTCAGTGGTTCAAATCCACCAGCTTCTCTGTGAAAGGAAGATGAAGCAATCTATATCCATAAAGATTTATAGCTTGGAAACCCAAATGGGATCCCTATGAGTTGGAATCAACTTGATGGCAGTGAGTTTGGCTTTGGTTTTTGAGCAAGCTATAATTTACTGTAGTCTTCCTTATATTGATATTTTACAACTTCACAACAACATAAATACTTTCTAAGAGTATAATTACATTTACCCTCTCCTCTTGCATTCTCTATATTACTATTGTCATATGTGTCATTCCTATACATGTTATACATCCCACAATAGTTGTTATTGTGGTTGCTTTAAAATACTCAATAATCCTTAAAACGTTAAGAAATAGTCTTTTCTATTTATCCTTTCTGGTGTTCTTTATTCCTTCCTACTTGTCCATGTACCCATATGGAATAATTTCTCTTCACTTTTGAGGACTTCCTTTAATATTTTCCTTTAGCTTTTCCATTCCCATTCCTTAGCATTTCTTATACTGCTGGCATCAAATTCCCTCAAATTTCTTTCTTAAAATGTCTTTAATTCCTTTTAATTTTTTACAGGTATCTTCATTGGGTATAGAACTCTAGGCTAGCAGTTTTTCTAGTTTCTAGTATTTTTGAATAGATCATTCCATTGACTTCTGGACTCTATATTCTGATGAGAAATCAATCACAGTTCTTACTTATGTTCTTCTACCTAGAAGCTGCTTTTGATAGATAAATTTTCCTCATTATTTTAAGTTTGACTATGATATGCTTGAGGTTTAGTGAGGTTCCTGATTCTGTGGGTTAATGTCTATTATGGATTGAATCGTGTCTCCCCAAAATATGTGTTGTAAATTCTAATCCTTATATTTGTAGTTCCACCACTTGTCTGTCAGTGTCCTACTGTGGCAGCTTGCATGTTGCTGTGAGGTTGGAGGCTATGCCACCAGAATTTCAAATACCAGCAAGGTCACCCATGGTGGACTGGTTTCAGCAGAGCTTCCAGATAAAGACACACTAGGAAGAAGAATGGGGCTTTCCACCTCTGAAAAAATTGGCCAGTGAAAATCTTGTGAGTAGCAGTGAAACACTGTCTGACATATTACTGGAAAACTATGAAGAGCTGTGAAACATTGACTGATATAGTACCAGAAGATAAGCCCCTCAAGTTGGAAGACACTTAAAGTATGACTGGGAAAGAGCTACCTCCTCAATGTACAGTTGACCTCAATGATGTGGATGGAGTAAAGCTTTAGGGACCTTCCTTTGCTGATGGAACATGATTCAAAATGGGAAGAAACAGCTGCAGATATCCATTAATAATCAGAATGTGGAATGTTATGACACATGAACATAGGAAAATTGAAAGTTGTCAAAAATGAAATGGAATGCATAAAAACCTCAGGCACCACAGAGATGAAATGGACTGGCTTTGGCTACTTTGAATCAGACAATTACATGATCTACTGTGGCAGGAATGACAAATTGAAGAGGAATGGTATTCCATTCATCATCACAAAGAAAGTTTCAAGGTCTATCCTGAAGTAAAATGCTGTCAGTGATAGGAAAATATCCATATGCCTACAAGGAAGACCAGTTGATACTACTATTATTCAAATTTACACACTAAACCCCAAAACCAAAAACGAGGAAACTGAAGATTTTTACCAACTTCTGCAGTCTGAAGTTGACCAAACATGCAATCAAGATGTATGGATTATCACTGGCAATCGGAAAATATGGCCTAGGTGATAGAAATGTTGCCAGAGATCGCATGATAGAATTTTATAAGACAAATGACTTATTCATTACAAATATGTTTTTTCAACAACATAATGGTGGTTGTACATGTGGACCTCACCAGAATGGAATACATGGGAATGAGATTGACTACATCTGTGGGAAGAAGTGATGGAGAAGCATAATATCCTCAGTCAAAACAAGACTGAGAGCTGACTGTGAAACAGACCATCAATTGCTCATATGCAAGTTCAAGCTGAAGCTGAAGAAAATTAAAACAGTCCACGAGAACCAAAATATGACCTTGATTATATCCCACCTGAATTTAGTCACCATCTGAAAAACAGATGTGACACACTGAAGACAAGTTACCGAAAACCAGATGACATCAAGAACATTATGTCTGAAGGAAGCAAACAGTCATTAAAAAGACAAGAAAGGAAGAAAAGACTAAAATGGATGTCTTAAGAGACTTTGAAATTTGCTCTTGAATGGAGAATAGCTAAAGTGAAGGGAAGAAATGATGAGATAAAAGAGATAAACAAAAGATTTCAAAGGGCAGCTCAAGAAAACAAAGAAAACTATTACAATGAAATGTGCAAAGACCTGGAGTTAGAAAATCAAAAGGGAATAACTGGTTAGCATTTCTTAAGATAAAAGAGTTGATAAATATTCAATCATCTAGTTGCAATATTGAAGGATTCTAAGGAAAAATACTGAATGATGGCGGAAGCATCAAAAGAACATGGAAGGAATACAGAGTCACTATTCAAAAAAGAATTGGTCAATGTTCAACTATTTCAGGAGGTGGCATATGATCAAGAACTAATGGTATTGGAGGAAGAAGTCCAAGCTGCACTAAAAGAACTGGTGAAAAACAAGGCTCCAGAAATTGACAGAATAATCAATGAGATGTTTCAACAAAAAGATGCAGCACTGAAGTCACTTACTCATTTATGCCAAGAAATCTGGAAGACATCTACCTGGCCAGCTGACTGGAAGAGAGATCAATACTGTGCTCATTTCAAACTAAGGTGATCCAACAGAATGTGGAAATTATCAAACAATATCATTAATATCACATACAAGTAAACTTTTGCTGAAGGTAATTCGAAAATAGTTGCAGCAGTACATGACAGAGAACTGGCAGAAATTCAAGCTGGATTCAGAAGAGGGCATGGAATGAAGATATCATTGATAATGTCAGATGGATCTTGGCTGAACGCAAAGAATACCAGAAAGATGTTTACATGTGTTTTTGAGAAAAATGAGAAGACCAGAACACTTAATTATGCTCATGAGGAACCTGTACAGAGACCAGGAGGCTGGAGTTTAAACAGAACAAGGAGATATTGCATGGTTTTAATCAGGAAGGGTGTGTGTCAGAGTTGTATCCTTTCCTCATACTTATTCAATTTGTATTCTGAGAAAGTAATCCAAGAAGCTGGACTATATGAAGAAGAATGTGGCATCAGAATTGCTGGAAGACTAATTAACAACATGTGATATGCAGATGACATGACCCTGCTTGCTGAAAGTGAAGAAGACTTGTAGTACTTACTGATGAAGAGGAAAGACTACAGTCTGCCATATGGGTTACACCTCAGGATAAAGAAAACAAAAATCCTCACAACTGGACCAATAAGCAACATCACAACAAATGGAGAAAAGATTGAATTTGTCAGGGATTTTATTTTACTTGGATACACAATCAATGCCCACGGAAGCAACAGTCAAGATATCAGATGTTGTATTTCACTGGGCAAATCTACTGCAAAAGACCTCTTTAAAGTGTTAAGAAGTGAAGATATCATTTTGAAGACTAAGGGGCACCTAATCCAAGCCATAGTATTTTCTCTGACAAGAATACACCACCAATGGGATGGCTTGAACAAACAGGAGTTTATTCTCTTGCAGTTTGGAGGCTTTAAGTCTGAGTTCAAAGTGCCAGGCTCTAGGGGCTGATTAAGCTTCAGCTCCGTCTCCTGCTACCAGCCCACTAAACCTGGAGGCTTTTCTCCACTCAGGCAGCTGCTGGCTGTTGAGGGTGACAAACCCAAGGTCAACAATGTTACCAAACAAGTCAGGTCACTAATTCAAGTCCAGAAGTCCCAAGATCAGCAGGGCATGGCAGGCTGCTGAACAATGACTTGGTTACATGCAGGGTTCAAGTGTGCCAAAAAGCTAGAGACCTTTCCCAAAGTTACTTCTTATATACAGGAAGCAGACCACATCCCTAAAGCAGCTACTCAGCTGCTTGTGGTAGATCCTACCATGGAGTTGACTGCCAGTCTCATCAGAGGGAATAACTACCACCAGCTGCCCACCAACTCAACCAGGCCCAGCCAGGTTGACACACAACCTTAACTACCACAAGCACCTCATATGCATGTGAAAGCTGGACAATGAATAAGGAAGATTAAAGAAGAGTTGATACCTTTGAATTATGGTATTGGTGAAGAATACTGAAAATACCATGGACTGTCAAAGGAACAAACAAATATCTCCTGGAAGAGGTGCAACCAGAATTCTCATTGGAAGTGAGAATGGTCACACTTCATCTCACCTACTTTTATCATGTTGTTAGAAGGGACCTTGCTGATCCTTTCTTCTACTGTTATCTAGTTTGCTATGAAGTCCATCCAAAAAATGCTTCAGTTCAGATAGTATACTTTTTCATATCTAGAATGTCCAAAACGTTATTCCTAGAAATTGTATTTGTCTAGTGATTATTGATCTTTGTATCTATTTTGTCTATATTTTCCTTTACTGTCTTTCTAATTGTTATTTGACAATTTTTATTTGGTAGTACCAATGTCTGTGTTATCAGTATGTCTGCTAAGAGTGACTAAAAAACAATTGCTTATGGATCATATTTTTCTTTTTCTTTGCACGACCTTAAAAAAAAATGTATTGCAGACACTGTTTAAAAGAAAATTAGGAAACTGGAGTAAATAGTAATCCCCCCACCCCAGAAAGGGCTAGACTTTTCCTATGGCAGGCGTAGTGAGGGGTAGATTACATCAATTCAACCAGCAGTTGAACTGGGCCTAGAGTGGGTTGCAGTTTTAATTCGTTTTAGGTTACTTCTGGTTTCAAATGCTTTGAGGGAGAGATCTGTCACCGTTCTAGGAGAGTTTTGGTATAAACACCATGTGACTACAGAAATCTCTCTTTATTTTAGAGCTTAGCCCCCACCCTCTTCTGTTGCCAGGCTCTCCTTAAAAATCTTAAGGGGAAGAATTGTTAGGTAGAGAGAACAAGTTTCTCCATTTTGGGCTTCTATAGACTCCTGTCTGATGTACCAGTCCATGCAGCCATTACAAGCTCCATGGTGTCTTTTATCCTGGCAGAGTCCTTCTGCCTGTGCTGGACTAGTCCTTTGTACACTGGGACACAGACTCACTAAATGCCCAGAGAGAGAAATGACCACCAGTGTGCTCCTCTAGGAAGTGCTCTTTCCTCCCTCCAGTTCAGTTGTATTAGACTTTATAGCCATAGTTCTACAGCATAGTTTTCATAATATGATTTTTAAAGTTACGTTTTGGTTAGTTGGTTGGTATAGGGGAAATGACAGTCTGTCACAACCATCTCCAGCCTAACTAAAAGTAGAACTCCAAGAAAACACTGCAAGCCTATCAGATTAAAGAAAGTTGTATGTCTGTGTATACAATTTGCACTGCCAAACTACAACTTCAATTTTTTCTGAGTGTATCACACACAAAAAAATTTTCAAAAGATATAGGGTCCTTCTTGTTAAGAAATACTTATGTTGTTAGTTGCCATTGACTTGATTCCAACTCACAGTGACCCTTTGTATGCAGAGCAGAACTGCTGCACAAGCTTTTCAAGGTTGTGACCTTTTCAGAAGCAGGTTGCCAGGCCTGTCTTCTGAGGTGTCTTTGGATGGGTTTAATCTGCCAACTTTATGGCTAGTAATCAAGTGCTTAAAACTGTGCCTGAAGAAATACTTACGGAACAACGTTACTAAATGATACATATAGAAGTTTTTGAATTGGTGTTATGTTTTGCTGTTTGTATATTCTCAACAACAACAATAAAATAAGTAAAATTCAGAAAAAGACAGAAATACTAATGGTCTTTACTGATCTTATTTTATACAGAATTTACTTATAATAGTTACTATCAGGGGAACTCTGGTGGCATAGTGGCTAAGGCTTCACTGCTAACTAGAAGGTTGGTGGTTCAAACCCACCAGTCACTCCTTGGAAGGAAGACTGGGCAATCTACTTCCATCGTAATACTGGCTTGGAAACCCAAGGAGGGGTCACTGAGTCAGATCCGACTCAACGGCATTGAGTTTATCATGTACCTTAGAAGTCCTGGTGGAGCAGTGGTTAAAACATTTAGCAGCTTGGTGGTTCGAACCCACTAGCTACTCTGCAGAAGAAAGATGAAGTAGTCTGCTTCCATATAGATTTACAGCCTTGGAAACCTTACGCAGCAGTTCTACTCTGTCCAATAGGGGTACTGTGAGTTGGAATTTACTCGACAACAGTGGTTTTAACAGTAGAATCATGTACATGACATCACTTGTCCCTCACAGTAACCCCAAGAAGCAGGCAAAGCAAGTACTATATGTTCTGTATGTCCCTTAGATGAAGGACATGAGTTACTGAGAATAAAATGGGGACATACAGCTTCCATTGTAATTACAATAAAATATAATTTCTTTTCCATGACTTCAAGGTACAACACATTTGTCTTCCTAATTTCTTCTTCAGTATCACCTTGTATCACTCTAGCCTGGCAATAGCTCTAAACATGCTAATCTTTTCTCAGTTTCTCCAAATAAGCCAATCTCTTTCCTCTCTTAGGAAATTGGCTTTTACTGTTTTTTTATGCCTGGAACATTCTCCCACCTGCTACTTCCATGGCAAGCTGCTTGTCACTATTCAGTTCCCAATTTAAATGTCACCTCCTCAGGCAATCCTTTCCTGACCACCCTAACTAAACTCACATCCCCTAACCATAGTCATGCCCAGCTCAGCTCTCTGCACTTCCTTCCTTCCATTCATCCACAATATATACTGCATTTCTTTGATTGCACACTTCATTTTTTTCCCGCTTGGTCTATTTCCTCCACTAAGATATAAATGTGCTGTCTCGCTCATTTATGGTGTCTGACAAATACTAGAGACTCAACTGTTTGTTGAATGAATGAATAGTTGGCATCGGAGCAGGGACAAAATCATTCAAGCCTCCTCAGTTCTGTTCTAAATGCTTTCCTACAACAATCTTTCTGAATTTCCGTAAGTCCCTCAGGTATTCATGTATATGCTTGTTTTTGTTGTTGTTGTGTGCTGTTGAGTCAGACCTGTCCCATAGCGACCACTCCTTGGGTTTCTGAGGCAGTATCACTATGGAAGTAGATTGCCCAGCCTTCCTTCCGAGGAGATGTATGAAGAGGGAATAAAACACAAAACACAGTGGTTTAGAAAAAACTCTGAAGCCATCTTGCCTAGCCAGGTTTGAATGCTGGCTTTGCCAGTTCCAAACTCTGTGAGCTAGAGTACCCATCTTGCAACCATGAGAGGAAGGTCCAGAACACTGCAGTGATCGGCCCTGATAGTACTGAGCCTCTGAAATAACACTAGATGCTGCTCTTTCTGAACTTCCAGAAAGGTGTGAAAAGTCAACTTCTATTTTTAAAAGGTACTCTAGTATTTTTGGCTGTTGTTAGTTACTTGCAGCCCAAATCATTCCTAACTGATATAACTGGAAGGAATACTTTAATAAATCATTGGAATGGGTAAGATGAGATACCCTCCCCGTCCCCACTAAGAAGCATACTCAAGTAACAACATACAATCACTACCTTGCAACCTAAAATAAGGTGGGGGTCTAACTTAATAATTTCCATTTTGAGAGCTACAAAATTATTAGCCTAACCACATATTTGGGTCTAATCTTAATTGGTATACTGTGGAGTTAAACTTCATTCCTGCTGAAAATATCTCTGCCTAATGTATAGGGAATATGTTCATATTGCTCTCATACTGCTCTCAGATTGAACATATTTCCAAAGGTGCAGGAAGAATATACCAAAATCAAAGATTCCTCCCCACTCTTCTGAAAGAAGAGGAGAGCTGTTCCCACCACTTATCATTGTCTCTGATGATGTTGGTAGCAGTACAGCAGTCACATTCGGGGACACCCTCTTTCACAGGGACTGCAGCAGGCCTCTGCAGGCAGGGCACTGGTAGGAGAACCTGCTGCTCTCTGGGACAGCCCTGGGCTCCCAGTCCCTGTGGCCCAGCCATCCACTGCCTAGCTTCTTTGGGAGGTCCTGCAGATAAAGTTAGAGGACATATCACTCGCTTTTACGCTCTGGCTTCTCAGTAATCTGTGGATTCTAACTTGTTTATAAACAAGCTCAACTTGGATGTTTTGCAAAAAGCACTTGAAAGGCAATGATGATGATCAAATAAAGCTGTAGTTTCAAGGTAATGGAAGTAAGATCACGAGGAGCTCTTGGCTTCTACTCTCAGGCTCCTGACACTTTCTTTCTTGACCACCCCAGCATTCTCTCCTCACTTTGCCATCCTGGTTCTAATACCTTCCTGGCCTGTCTCACCCCTGATAGGGACACAAGGAGAGAGTTGATGAAAGTATTCTATGAAACGGTAAACAGATCTGCCTAAACCTCTGTGCTGGCAGTAATGATATGGAAAAATGTGTTTGTATATTAGTGGGGAGTTATAAGTGCAAACAAATCCTTCAGCCACTCAGCAGGTGATATTTGGAATAGTTTTAAGGCTAGATTTTTTTTTTTTTTTAAACTCAGTTGAGGTTTGCATCAGAAATTAAATTCTTAGGCCCCTGTGCATTACCTCTGACTATCATTGTGCTAGAGATGGGACAAATGGGAATGGAAGAAAGAGCAAATGCCAAACCATCAACACTAAAGCAGCAATTTATAAAGGAGTAGGTTCAAATGGGGCAATGTCTAAGGGACAGTGACAGAATCTTTGTCTGGGGCATATGCTAGGTTCTCCATGTGCTTGTCTTTGAAAGTAACCCATTCTATGTTCTAGTCCCTTCTACCAAGGATGAAAAGGATCAGTAGCAGTCATAATCCTTATATACTTATCACATAATTTAAATACATTAATTTATATGTGCATATTTAAATATATGCATGAGAAAAATCAAAATGTAATATTTTACTTAAACTACCCTGCTTTTGGCTAAGTTTAGAGAGAAATGGAGAGTGACTTTAATAGGTACAGGGTTTCTTTCAGGGTTGATGAAAATGTTATTGCATTAACTAATAGTGATGGCACAACTTAAAAACCAATGAATTGCATATTTTAAAAAGGTGGGTTTTATGGTATGTGAATTATATCTCAATTTTTAAAACTGTAGGGGAAAAATTACCACTGCTTTGATTTGTTTTGAATTTTGATACTTAAAAGTGCTTTGAGATTTTAAATAACTTTTGAGGAAGGCCAAAAAAAAAAAAAAAGAGAGAGAGAAAGAAACAATTTTAGAAAAGAGCAAAAAAGAACCATAATTTTCAAAAAGGGCCAAGGATTTAAAAAGATTGAAAGATATGTGTGATTATTAGTTGCTTTTAGTAAAGGACAGCAGTCAGTAGATAAAGAAACAGTCTTGTTACTTGTTCAGCTAATCATCACCTAAACAGGTGACAAGCTAAAATACCTGCTTGGTAAAAGCAAAGAAAACCAAATGGGAACATTTTAGTTCTGTGTCAAAACTAATATGCAATTAATTCATGAGCTTCATATACATACTGACTTTGATAAAGCTCAGTCAATTCTGACTTTTCTCACATCCTCCTCAAAGATAAATCAAGACTAGAGCTGGTTTGCTGACACCCTGTCATTGTACAGAAGCTGTTGCTTTTGGTTCAATTAGGAGATACCCTGTAAAAAAAAAATCTATAAAAGAGAATGTGAGCAAAAGGAAGCTGCGATAGTTAAGGTTATGTGTCCACTTTGCTGGGCCCAGTTTTGAGTGGCTGGGAAGCTGGATGTAGTTACTCCCCATGATGAGATTGGTAATCAACTCAGTGGTAGAATCGGCTGTGAGCAGCTGATTAGCTGCCTCAGGAGTGTGGTCTGCTTCCAGTATACAAGGAGAAGCTTTGAGAAAGGCTCTGAGCTTTTGGGAACGCTTGGACCCTGCACGTAGCTGAGTCTTCATTCAGCAGCCTATCATGTTGCCTGCCAGTCTTGGGACTGTGCCATTTTACGTCAACCTTGGGTTTGTCAGTCTCAGCAGCAAGCAGCTGCCTGAGTTAAGAAAAGTCTCAAGCTTCAGTGGGCTGGGAATAAGAGGCAGAGCTGAAGCCCACGGTTGGGCGGTCTTCACCCAGTCCCTAGAGCTGGTACTTTGAACTGGGACTTCTAGCATCCAAAATTGTAAGAGAATAAATACCTGTTTGTAAAACCATCCACTTGTGGTATTTTCTGTTAGAGCAACACTAGAGAACCAAAACAGAAGCGTTCTCTTACACTTAAATAAATTTATCCTTTACCCATTCAGAGATATATGTCACTGAGAGTCTCAGTAATCTGTATATTTTGTGCTTCTGAAATTGTTCTTCCCCAATAAGTGTGGATAAACTGTTTTTTAAACGATTTCAAAAGCAGATTACATAGTCTCTATTTAGTGCTGTCATGGATTGCATTGTGTCTCCTAAAAATATGTGTCTACTTGGCTGGGCCATGATTCTCAGTGGTTTGCTAGTCATGTAATGATGTAATCACCCCCCATGATGTGATCTGACATGATCAGTCAATCAGTTGTAAGGGGGTTAAGGTGAGATACAACATCCTTACTCAGGTCACAGCCTAAAGGGAGTTTCTCTGGGATGTGGCTTGCCATCACCTTTTATCATACAAGAGATAAAAGAAGAGAAAAGTGAGTAGGGAAAGAGAGACTTGACTACCACCAAGAAATTGGTGCTGGGAGTGGAGTATGTCCTTTGGTCCCGATGCTGAGACCTCCTAGACCCAGGGAAGATTGATGCCAAGACACATGGAGATCTCCAAGGAACGTCAGGCCCACAGATGTTGAAAGAAGACAAGGACTTTCCTCCACAGCCAACAGAGATGGAAAGTGTTCCCCTAGAGCTGGTGTCCTGAATTTGGACTTCTAGAGCTCTGGTAGTGTAGTGCCTAAGGCACTTGACGGCTAACCAGAAGGCTGGCAGTTCAAACCCACTAGCCACTCCTCAGAAGGAAGGTTTGGCAATCTACTGATGGAGTGATACTACCTCAGAAACCCAAGGAGGGGTTGCTATGAGTCAGGTCCTACTTGATGGCAAATAACAACAACAGCAAAAAACTGTGAGAGAATAAATTTCTCTGTGTTAATGCTGTCTACTTGTGGTATTTCTGTTGTAGCAGCACTGGGTAACTAAGACAAGTGCCAAGCTGCTATATATATTTGTATTATGTGGTTTCTAGTGATGTGCTACAGCTGGCATTGCTATGCATGACTTTCAAGGTGATTAAAAAGACAAGCCCCATTCTGAGAGCTTGCCTTGATTTTACAGTCCTCTTTCTGCCTCGCTGGTATCTGTGGAGATGCAGCCATTTTATCCCTTGTTTCTTGAACTCTGGTGTGTATTTATTGCTTTTGTTTCTCAGTCATTAATGCAGTAGACACAAAATAGAAAAACTCCACTGAAGCTTGTACTATTTTTCAAGTTGTTTTACCTGTTGCTTTTCTTTAGCTTCCAACATTCAATAATAGCAGGATAGAGTCACAAAACAAGATCAAAGGGATCACCAGGCAGCCTTTCTGGATTGGTGTTTGATGTGGACATTCTCATGTGGCAAGGTCTTAGAGGACACCTTGGTTCACCTTGACAGCCCTTTAGCATGAATCTGAATGGCTTTCTTCATGGACCAGTGGTGTCAGTTCAGCTTTAACTATTCAATATAGAATCCAAAGTTCAACTTACTAAATTTTGGCAGGGGTAAGTTGGTCACTTGCAGTAAATGCATAAATGGATGAATCAATGTATTAAGAACCTCCCTTGATTTTTTTTTCTTTCAAACTATCCTTTTTCCTCACTCAGACTCACTTTTATGGAGATTTTAATTCCATGGGATCCCCTTGAACAACAACCATTTTGTAACTTTCACAAGACTGCTTCCTAATATCCAGACAAAGAATTCTGAATTAGAAAGGCATAACTCAAGATTTCCAATGAATCAAAGGATCTGAGAGATGGAGAACTGAAAGGGGATTTGAGAAATGCCAAGCCCCCCTAAAAAAAAAAAAAAAAAAACCACCATATTCTATAGATTAAAAAAACGAAGCTCAGAGAAATTAAGTAACTTGTCCAGGATCACACAGCTAATTACTGTGGGGGGGGACTAGATGGTGACTGAATGAAAGATCAGAGGTTTTAGTTCATCCAGAAGTTCTTAAGAACAAAGGTTTGGCAATCTACTTCCAAAAATACCAATCTCTACAGAGCACAGTTCTCCTCTGATGTGCATGAGGTTGCCATAAACTGCGGTCAACTTAAGGACAACAGGTTTAATCTTGCCTTACTAATAAGCTAATTTTTAAAGACCTGAACTACAAACTTGATTTCCTGATGCAAAATTTCATGTTCTTTCACCTGATCACAAGTCATTTGATCCATTTAAACTTTATATTGTTCTCTCACCAAATAGGGAGCTCTGGTAGCATAGTGGCTAAGTCACTTGCCTGCTAACCAGACGGCTGGCGGTTCAAACCCACCAGCCACTCCTCGGAAGGAAGGCTGGGCAATCCTACTTCCGTAGGATACTGCCTCGGAAACCCAAGGAGGGGTCGCTATGAGTTGGGGCTGACTCGACGGCACATA